TAACCTATTTGTCTGAACCAAACACCATACATCATCTAATTGTGCTGCATTCCTGTTCAGCCAGTCTGAAATATAATTTGCAAATGGATTCGAAAAGCACCAGATCAATAAGAGTTCTCTGAACCTTTTTGCTATTTATTTCTTATTCTGAAAAATCTGTCTCCATCCAAAAACCACACAACAGACCATTTCAGTGACGAAAAATCTTTTTTTATTTGTGTTTTCCTTTTTTTCTCTCATGTTGGGTCATTTTCTGTTTGCTCTGTGAACATAACACATCTTCATCCAATCACTTAAAGCCAGTTTATCTTCTGCTCCTTATGAATCTTGTGTCATTATCACACACACCTCTAACTCCTGAGAAAGCAAATGATTTAAGACATCACACGTTATGAATTCAGTCAGTCTGGAGAAAGGCATTGCAGATTTGCAACAGTTAAAACCTACCTACCAGGCAGGGGTGGAGCTATGGGTGGGCCTGGGTGGGCGCATGCCCACCCAGTTTGACAGAGTGCCCATCCACCAGGGGCAGGGCCAGGCAGTAGCTTGGTGTTGTTGTAGCAATACCAAGATGTGGCCAAGCAAGTAACTGCTTAGCAACCCCAGTTATGTTGTAACAACAATTACAATATAAAATTATTGCTTTAATGAACCTATTGCAGAGAAAATATTCTGATGCCATCCCTGCCACACAGTGAGGTTCATGATTTTTTTTTCTCAGAAGCGTCCTCCTGCCCTGGACTTCTCACAGCTGAACAGGGCATCTCCTGGAGTCTGCGGATGACATCACTGACATTGTCAGCGGTGTAAACTGAGAAAGGACTGGGTGTGAGGATGAGACCGATGCGCAGCACGCAGCGGACACGCAAGGGCCTTTTATCTGATGCTTTTCCTAGCACTTACTTTAATCCGGTTAAGGAAATGAATCGTTTCATCCGGGTATCTCTTCGGGTCTGCTTTAGTCCTCTAAGGCCATTTTATTTGGTTCTGTTTATTTCAATTAAATTCAAAAATACTGTATTAATCCCAGAGGGAAATTGATTGCTTTACTGTTGTTGTTATCTGGACCGGGGGGTCGGGTGCAAGATCCCGGAGGTGATGAGTCATCCCGAACCGCATCGGCGCGTCGCTGTTTGTGGCCCTGAATGAGACAGAGCCCTTGAGAGCCAGTGAGGAAAGGGGGTGTGGTCAGAGGTGTATGCTGCTTAGTCAAGGTGTGCGTGTGCGCGCGCTTGGATCGTGCTTGCTGATTATTCCCTGGTGAAGGGCGCAGTTGCTGAGAATCATCTGATCTGATTTCTGGTTTTGCACCACCTCCTGCAGAACAGTCAAAAATCCTGATTTTTGAAACATGTGGTGACCTCTGGCAAGCTGCAGTCTTTTGGATCTTCAGCTCTTAGCTGATAGCCTGCAGCTAGGACGCTGAGAAGAGCACAGCAGCACACCTGGCCGAGATTAGAACCTGTCCAAGGTCCTGAAAGTTCACACAAGAGAGTTTGCAGGTCTTGGCCCAGAGCGGGAGTCCAGCGTCGGTAACAGTCCTTAAAATTGAAATTTAATGGAGATCCATGGAATAAATATCTAATATATAATCTTCTATCATAGGATTATTTGTGGTTTGAGAGATTTATTTAAAACATGTAATTTTGACGTGCACACGAGCGGCGCACGGCACACATCTCATATGAGCTTTGAAATTAATTAGGCCCATCCAGATTTTTCTAGGCCCAGCCATTTGCTACGTTCTGGCCCTGCCACTGCTACCTGGTTACTCCACATACATATTTCATGAGCATTCTTTAACTCAGATGTACCCCTGAAGGACTTAGTTGTTCATCCTTTTATCAAAACTTATTTTGAGCCTGAGAGGGTTAAAACAGAAGCACTGCTCATTGCTTGTTTGTCTCACTAAAGCTGCAAAAAACTGATTTACATCGTTTTTATGCATCATTGATCATTCAAATCAGTGCAGTCCTCAAATGTTATCATTTAAAAAAATGCTTTTCAAGCTAATTTTGTGAATGCCAGTTGTGGATGTTCCTATTCTCATCATTTGTTTCCATTACATGCTCTTTCATTCTTATAGAATGGCCTACAGTTTAAATGTGACCTACAGATGTTCAAGCAGCCATTGCTTTATTACAATAAATCTGTAGATGCTTATTCCAACATGATTTGGTAGAACAGGTTCTTAAATAATGAATTTTAATCAATTGTAACTTAAAAATTGCTTTAAAATTATGAAATTTGATTTTTAAATGTATTATTTTGTTATTTTGAATTTGCACTTAAAATATAAGAAAACATCTCAAATGAAAAATAGGCTTGAATTATGCATGCAAAGAGCCTCTTAAAACATTTAATTAGGAGTAAAAACAGCAACAGAATCTCAAAAAAACCGACGTCTATTTCATTTTAGTTTTAGTACAGGTTTTTTTTTTATTCTTTAAAAGCTTTTCTTAACTGACTGAGCTCCTAGCATTTGACATCTCGAATAACCTGCTCTCTCAGTGTTTGGTGTTGTACGTGACAATGACAAAGCTGCCACTCTAAAATCCATACCAATGGGGCAGAAGGTAATTTGGCTTTATCTGAATGTGTTCAATGATGTGTCAGAGACGGAAAACAAGCATGAAAACATCTCTCGCCGCTCTTTTCTCTCCCTCTTTTTAAAGACAAAGGAGGACAAAAACCAAAAAATTGTTTTCTTGTTTTGTTTCAAGTAAAGTTTTTTGTGTGAAACACAAAAAAACACAAGCACAACATTCATACATTTATAGCTTATTAAAGACAGTGGTAGGCTATGTAATACCCAGGAACAGTACAAATTACAGTAATGAGAGCAAACGTTATCATTCATCTCGGATGAAACCCCATTTAGTTTCTACTGACAGTTATAATCAATAGGAATTCATTCTACTACCACTTCTACTACTACCACTAGTTCATCTGCTGAATTAATGATAGATTCTACTTTATATATATATATATATATATATATATATATATATATATGGTGTGTGTGTGTGTGTGTGTGTGTGTGTGTGTGTGTGTGTGTGTGTGTGTGTGTGTGCTCTGTCTTCTCAATCCCCAGTGAGTTGTGGGGGATGGCTGCTTATACTGAGCCAGGATCCTCTGGAGGTTTCTTCCTGTTGAAAGGGAGTTTTCCTCTCCACTGTTGCTGCATGTTTGCTTAGTATGACGATTGCTGGTGTCAGTGACTCGATGCAACCTGCTGGGTTCCTTATATAGGAAACTTTTAACTAATTGGCATGACGAACAAAACTCAATTGACATGTTTTACTTTGTGCTTTGAGATGACTCTTGATTTGGCGCTAAATAAATAAACCGAACTGAATCCTAGCAAACAGCATAGCAAATAAAGCTGTCTGTCGATGAATTTCCTGAGCATATGGAGGTGAGTGAAGACCTCTGCAGGTGTAGGTGTGGGGGGGGGGGGGGGGGGGGGTGTCTGGTGCCTATCTCCAGCAGTCAACGGGCAATTAGGCGGGGTGCACCCTGGACAGACAGCCAGTCCATCGCAGGGCAATACAGAAACACACAGGACAAATAACCATGCACACACACACTCACACCTAAGGACAATTTAGACGGACCAATTAACCTAACAGTCATGTTTCAGAACTGTGGGAGGAAGCCGGAGTACCCGGAGAGAACCCTCGCATGCACAGGGAGAACATGCAAACTCCATGCAGAAAGATCCCAGGCTGGGAAGCGAACCCAGGACCTTCTCGCTGCAAGGCAACAGCTCTAACCACTGCACACTGCGCAGCCAGGAAGTGTTTCATCAGAGTAATTCATTTTTTTTTGGTCAGTCATGCTTTGATTATATTTATTGACAGTAAAATAAATGACTCAAACCATGATGATGGAAGAATGCAATAGCCACCAACACCCTGCTATTTTCACAGCTTCATGCAAAATGCAGCCTCCTATTTTTGCAGCTTGACATCGTTGCCTCACACGTTATCTGGAGCCTTTCATCTCAAAGGGGCCATAAATGTGGAAATCTATCATTCAGCCAACGAAAATGAGCTTTAAGAGGAGCAGCAGTAATAAGCAGTCTGTTGCAGCACATTAAATGTTTGGTGAGCTTTTTTGCTTTGAAACCAGAACCTTCATTGTTCACATAAAGGTGAGTTTTAGGTTCTTAAATATAATGGTCCTTCATTTTTGTGCCTTATTCAAACCAGTTAAACACAGCTCTGTTGATGTTTTATGATTGTTTTCAAGGGCTGTAACAGCTTATCTCATAGGTGCAGACCAGTGATATTTTCTGCTAACACACCATTAGAATATCAACACTTTCAGCTTTTTGACTCATTTACCAGTAATCTGTTTAGTGCTTAGTTAAATTATTTTATTGGGACAAATGTGAACGTAAGCTCCAAGGATTTATTTGATTTGTTTATTTCCTGTGCTGTTGGTCATAATGTTTTGCTTGCCAATCATATTGACCTTATGTGATTTGTGATAAAACACTGTAAACATGTAGCCAACATTTAAATCCAAAAAGTCTTTTTAGTTTCATTAAGCTTTCTCATCACGAACAAAACAAAATTAAAAGAGAAAAAAAAAACTAGTTTTACATCTTAAAGATTTGTATGTCTGTCTGGACCTGATAGCTTCTGTGATGCGGGTTTTTCAGCAGATTTCCCACTAATAAGATGTTCGGCAGTTTGATTCCTGGCCCATCCAATTACCAAGGTGTCCTCAGGAAAGCTGCTGTGTTTGTTTATGCGTGCCTGGGAGAGGTGTGGGTGAATGAGGCAACAGCACTGCAAATACCTTCTTAGAGTCTCAACAAAGTAAAATAGCAATATATGACACTGTTTCTAAATTTGTTTCAAAATCTGGTACGTGTTGATATTTAAGAATATATCTGATCCAGGTTTCTGTTAGAGTCTGATCTTGGCTAAAAAGGTGCATCATTAACATGTGATGCTGTTTTTTTTATCTCCTCTCTTATTTTGCTGCAGCACTATGCTGAGATCCCGGGCAGCCTTACCACCATGCTGGAACTGGGCTCATGTTCGGTCAGCTCTCAGTCCCTGACAGATGACCACAATGCTTTGGGGCTACCTGGAACTCAAGGAGGGCTTCGGTGTCAAGGAACCGGTTTGGGTTCGAGCACAGGCACGATGTGTGGCAGCAGCACCCCCAGGCATCACATTGTGCACCCGTCTCCTACAGACTGTGAGAGCTGGCAGAAGCACCAGACAGGTCTGGCTGGGGGATCCAAGCTATACTCTGAGGCTCACTCCCTACTGGATCCTCAGAGTTTGTCCACCAGCTTTGACATTTTCTACCCCTCCCAAATGACACCTGGGCAGGTTCCGCCCCTGCACCCTAATCGTCTCGGCCTCTCTCTCGACGTGGCTTCGACTTTTGATGCTGGGATGCTGGGGGTGGATGGAGATTTGGCAGTCAGCCCTAATGTAATCAAGAGACGACGAGGTGGCTTGATTGAGCAGAGAGACATTATCAAAGCACACCAGGCTCATAAGATACACAGCACACCGCAGGCGCGACGCAAAGAGTGGGAGTAAGTATGATACTTTATATTCTCTACATACATGAAAGTACACACATGTTTTTCTCAGGGAAAGTAATCCGTCTTGTTGCTTCAGAGTGACGAAATCTTATAATCTGTGAGTAAACAGAGCTGTCAGGTGGGACCAGATTTCATTCTGACGGGTGCAGCTAATTCATAGTTTTGCTGTAATATGTTCATTTTTGTTTTATGCATACATAATTGTTATAGTCCAGTAAATCTGAATATAAATGGCAACATTGAGTCGGAAAAGGGTAGAATGCCTTCCCGGTTCAAGGACGAGGTCCTGCCTCACTTGGAGGAGTTTAAGTATCTCAGGGTCTTGTTCACGAGTGAGGGAAAATGGAGCACAAGATCGACAGGCGGATTGGTGTTGTGTCTGCGTTGTATCTGTCTGCCTTGGTGAAAAGAGAGCTGAGCTGGAAGGTAAAGCTCTCTATTTACCGGTCAATCTAGATTCTAATCCTCACTTCTGTTCACGAGCTTTGGTGACCAAAAGAATGAGATGGTGAATACAAATGACCAAAATGACTTGTTTCCCTTAGAGATAGGGCGAGAAGCTCAGCCATCCGGGAGGGGCTTGGAGTAGATCTGCTGCTCCTCCACACTGAGGAGCCAGTTGAGGTGGCTTGGGTATCTAGTTAGATTGCCTCCTGAGCAGCTTCATGGTGAGGTTTTCTGGGCATATTCAACTGGGAGAAGACCCAAAGGAAGACCCAGGACACACTGGAGGGACTATGTTTCTCGGCTGGCCAGGGAATTCCTTGGGATTCCCCCGGGGGATTTGGCCCAAGTGGCTGGGGAGAGGGACGGCTGAGCCTGTCTGGTTGGCTGTTATTTTAGGTTTTGTGTGAAAATAAGTCCAGGTCTACAAATGTGCTTCACGAAAGTGACGTCAGCAAACCCGACACGGAGAAAAACTGAGGGAAAATTGCTGTAAGTTCAGCAAACTTGAAATCCTTCCTTCAGGAGGAAAATAAACCACCATAAATCTTGGCATTTTGTAAGTAGCAGCTACGCTAGAGGAGAGGAGACTCTGTGGTGACGCCATAATTTTACAAGCTGATAAATCTTAAAGTACATAACAGACATGGTCAAAACACCCATCATTAATTTTAATTTAAATTGCAGTACAACATATGTGCGATCCAGGGCCTAAGGCAAAGTGGATTAGAATTTTAGCCCCATTGACGTGCATTCATTTTTCCGTTCTTCCGGGGAACCGTGAGCCAACTGGAAAGGGAGGAGACTTGGGATTCCCATAGTGCTGAGATGGAAAAATGGAACAGAGAGGTTAATAGAGGATGATGATCTGAGGGAACGGATGAGAGAGACAATGCAAATGAGGTCAGACAGTTATGGGGGAAAGGTGATTGATGGCTGTAAAGGTGAGAAGAAGGATTTTGAATACAACTTGTTGTTTTACTGGAAGCCAGAGATGATGGAGGACAGGGCTTATATGGTGACTGATTGGGTTTTTATAAATGATACGTGTAGCAGAGTTCTGGACCAACTGGAGCTTATGGAGGGACTTTTTGGTAGACCAAACAGGCGTGAATTACAGAAGTCACTTCTTGAGGTGACAAGTATGGAAGTAGAGTGGGGGTGAGAGAGGGGCGAAGGTGATTTAGGTTACGCAGGTGAAAGATGTTATTGATGTTGGATTGAAATGAAGGAGTGCTGTCAAGGATGACGCCCAGACTCTTAACCTGGTGGGAAGGAGAAACAGAGGAGGATGATAATCTGTCATTTAGCGAGTTGCTCCTGAAAAGACTTTTATACGAACCTATCTGGTTTGATTGTAACTTATTAATTTACATGGGAAAGTTTACATTTTAGCTTTGAAACAGAGCCAGTGATGATTTATATTCCAACCTTTATGGTTCAATGTGTCCCGAAAGTCTACAGACGCCTGTAAATCGCTGACAGGTTTAGATCATGTGTGCTGAAGTAGTTCTGATCGGAGTTTTGCAACCTGGTGTCTTTTACACATTTAACAAAATAATCATGGACTGGTGCAAATAATCATATGATGCTGAAAAGATGAAATTATAAGTAACTTTGGATAGAGGACATTTACTCTCAAATATCGTCTGACTAGTTGTGTGCCCCACTCACCCATGAACATTTCTCTCTTTTTCTAGCATCTGAGGTCACTCTGGCAGTTTTCTGCAGGCAATGAATACTCAACTACTACTATATCTGATCTGTCTCTTTAATGTGAAAGGTTATGTTAAAACTGTCTGGTTTGATCAAAGTATAACAAAATCATCATCATCTTATAAAAAAAACACCTTCACACAAACCACAGGGATGCACAACGTGCTGTTACATTGCAGAGGATGATAATAAAGATTTATTTAGTCAAATCTGAGATATCTGAAGTCGCATGTCTTGGCAGTTGCTTTTTTGTGGGTCTGAAGCTGAAAAGTTTGGACTAAAGGACATAAAACACATTAAAGGTTAAGAATTTGAAGAGATAAAAAAAAAGCCAGTGAAGTGAGGTTTAAACTGGAGTAATGTGTTTGCTTTTATGTTCCTGTCAAAAATCTAACTGCAGATTTTGGGACTGTCTGAAGTCTTTAAAGAGCAAGTCACCTCTACAAGAAACTTACTTCACTCCCACTTCATGTTTAAAAAAGGCAACAAATGCTGTTGCCTGGCAGACCGAGAGGGCAGAGACGCTAACAAACACACACAAACAGGCTCACAACAACATTGTGACGTCATAATGTACCAGCTAATGTAATAGTGTACCTCTTAGCCAACAGCGGTTGCAGATTTAAACTCAAATGTAGTGCAGAGTTTTTACCTGAAGATGGCGCAACACTGACAGTTTTAGGCTGAATATTTAAATTTTAACTAAGATGCACTAAAGCGCCAAATTATTGACTACACATGTCTACAGCACTATTAGAAACTCATCTATATAGTTTATCAGCAAAAAAAGTTGATTTGGGTTGACATGCTCTTTAAGGATTAGGGTTTGGCTGATTCAGCATAAAACAAATTATAGTAATCCAGTCTAGAGTTTTAAAATACATTAATTGCTGTTTCCATATATGATTTTGATTTTAAAAAAAGGCGCAAAATCTTAGATGGATGGTGTAAATGGAAAAGAAACAGAATTTGACTTCTCCACATACTTGGTTGTTGAATTTTAGGCCAGCATTGGTAAAATCCACCCACTGGCACATTTACAGTTTAGCGAGTGTGTGTGTGTGTGTGTGTGTGTGTGTGTGTGTGTGTGTGTGCGTGTGTGTGTGCGTGTGTGTGTGTGTGTACAGCCTTCCTGTCCTGTGGTGAGGTGGAATCTGTAGCTGATGATAGCTGTGATGCCCCCCCTTGGGTTTTTTCCTGCTGAAACCAGAGCCTTACCTCTAACCATGATGGCACCCTCTGTGCGCTCCCCCCTTTGAACCTTTTACGCCACAGGTACCAGGATACCACTTCTTATCCTGAGCTTTGCCAAAAAGGGACAATGAGTTTGTGGGGGATGATTCTGCAGAAAGAGTGGGTTGGTCGATGTTAGATGGCGAGCAGATGACGTACTTTAGGAGCAGGGGAGGGTTGAGGAGAACAAGCATGAATGAGAACTTTTCCTGCTTGAATTTGCATTTGATATTTCAGTTCCTGCGACAGTTGTGTGTAAGTGGGCGATTAGTGGATCATCAGGCCTGTAGAAATGCTTGGCCATGGGCTAGATAACTGCTCTCTGGCCTGCCTAATAGAATTACTACAACACGTCATGTCGGATGGAGACTTCAGCTGCTGAGAGGACGATGACCACAGTAAGTCAGAAAGCATTAAAATCGTACACGTCCACCTCTCACAGCCACTTAGCAGCAAACCTCCGCTACCTGACAAGAGGATTAAAAACGAGAGGTTACATCTGAGACAACTCTTGCCTCTGATTTAGCTTATTCAACAGAGAACTATGTAAAGCAAATAGATCTTATTTTTTTGTGCAGCTCACTTTTGCATAGATGTGAACTGCAATTTGTTACTATCAAATGTGAACTGTTTTAATCAACTTTCCTACTCAAAGGCAAAAATGCAACCATAAGAGGTCACCAAACAATAATTCCTCGTGCCGTTCCCAAGGCTGGATAAATGTGTAAATGGGTTGTGTAAAGAAGAGCATCCGGCATAAAACCTAAGCTAAACAAACATGTAAATTACCAACAGGGTTTTTTTCTGAAGGGAAAAACTGAGAGAGAAAGAAGAAAACCATTTTAACCCTCTCAGGCTCAAAATAAGTTTTGATAAAAGGACGAACAACTAAGTCCTTCAGGGGTACTTGTCACGTTGAGAGTAGGGGGAGGTTAGGACCCAAGATGCAGAACAACCAGATGACACGAGGCAGGAGTGATTTGTAACAGTAAAATCCTTTTATTAGGATGGGAACAAAAATCCAAAAAGGCGGGAAGCCAAACCTAATATCTAAAACGAAAGACAAAACCAAAAGCTCACTGATGAGCAGAGATCTAGAGACCCAGTGTGGGGGGCGACAAAACAACGCTGACAAACATCAATGGACCGAAAAAACATTGAGACGCAGACAGGGTTATATACACAGTGACAGGGTGATTGGGAAACGAGGAGCAGGTGCATGCGGAGAGAGAACTGAGGGGAGACTGGTGAAATCAATTAACTACACTCAACAAAAATATAAACGCAACACCTTTGCTTCTGCTCTGATTTTTCATGAGATGGACTTAAAGATCTAAAATTCATTCCAAATACACAATATTACCATTTCTCTCAAACATTGTTCACAAATCAGTCTAAATGTGTGATGGTGAGCACTTCTGCTTTGCTGAGATAATCCATCCCACCTCACAGGTGTGCTACATCAAGATGCTGATCCGACATCGTGAGTAGTGCACAGGTGTACCTTATACTGCCCACAATAAAAGGCCACCCTGGAATGTGTAGTTTTGTCTCACAGCAAAATGCCACAGATGCCACAAGCATTGAGGAAGCGTGCA